GGCTCGTATGCTAACGGCTCGTATGCTAACGGCTCGTATGCTAACGGAAGCAGCGGGTTGTGGCAGATTTTAAGCGATCGCAGGGATCGTATCAAATTACAATTCAGATTGTGCGAGAACTTCCTACATTTCATTTTAGAAAAAATTGCGACCACCCGGCTCTCATTTCCCCTCCAACTCATGACCCATCCATCCCACCTCAACCTGTAGCTCCATTTGACCATTTTGAACCCATCACTCTATCTTCTCTAGAGCAGGTCATGTGCAGCTGGAAACCTTCTGGTTCCCCCTTTGATGTGGTCCCCCCTCGACTACTAAAGGAGGTGTTTCCAACTCTAGGTCCGTCCATTCTTGCCATAGTAAACAGCAGTTTATCCACTGGCGTGGTGCCAAAATCCTTTAAACATGCTGCTGTCCAGCCTCTCCTGAAAAAACCAAACCTTGACCCCTCAGTCGTTTCCAACTTCCGGCCTGTCTCCAAACTCCCATTTGTTTCTAACCTACTGGAGAAAATAGTCGAGTCCCAGTTGAAGTGCTTCCTGGAGGATCACACCATCTTAGAGCTTTTCCAATCTGGCTTTAAACCTCTCCACAGCACTGAAACTGCCCTGCTGAAGGTCTTTAACGACATCTTCAGATTCACAGATACCGGTGATTCTGTGCTGCTTGTCCTGTTGGACCTCACAGCCGCCTTTGACACCATCGACCATGAGATCCTCATTGCTAGGTTAGAGCAGTGGGTGGGCGTCACAGGATCAGCCCTCAATTGGTTCAGATCTTACCTCACTGACAGATCCTTTTGTGTCTCCATCAAGGATTTTAGTTCTGCAGAGGCAGAGCTTAAATGGGGGGTTCCGCAGGGGTCCATACTGGGTCCCCTCCTTTTCTCTTTATACCTGCTGCCGCTTGGTGCTATTTTCCAGAAACACAACATGCCCTTCCACTTCTATGCCGATGACTGTCAAATTTACTTCCCCCTAAGACACAATGGTACATGCTCTATTCAAACCCTGCTCAACTGCCTGGCTGACATCAGGGACTGGATGGCTTTAAATTTCTTAAGTTTCAATGAAAAGAAGTCTGAAGTCATGTTGTTCCCTCCCAACGACACGATCACAAACCACTGCATCGACCTCTCCGCTCTAACCCTGTCAGAAAAACAAAGAGTCACTAATCTGGGCGTGATAATGGACCCTTCCCTGAAACTTAACGATCATGTAAACATGTTGTTAAATCATGTTTCTTCCAACTGAGGCGGCTGTCTAAACTGAAGCCCATATTGTCCAGAAAGAACCTGGAGACAGTAATACATGCATTCATTACATCTAGGCTTGATTACTGCAATTCACTCCTGTTTGGTATCAGTCAGACCTCCATAGCACGACTACAACTGGTCCAGAATGCAGCAGCCCCATTTTTAACCAGTACAGGCAAAAGAGAGCACATTACACCAGTTTTGGCCTCACTGCACTGGTTACCGGTTCATCTTCAAATCCAGTTCCAAATACTCCTGTATGTCTACAAATCACTGAACAGTGTGTCCCCCCCTCCCCCCCCCCCCATCTCTCTGATCTGCTACAACCGTATGTCCCACCACACTCCCTGAGGTCAGCGGACCAGTTGCTCCTCACTGGTTAGTCGTCATATCGTGTTTATGTCTGTATTCTGATTCACTTCATCTTGTTTCTTCGTGTGTTGCCAGTTCTTCGTGTGTTGCCAGTTCTTCGTGTGTTGCCAGTTGTTCTGTCAGTGCAGCTCTGTGGTCGGAGTCTTGTCACTGGTTTAAGTGCTTTATAAATAAAATGGTTTGTTCTATCAGGTTTATTTACGCAGTTTTTCCTGAACTGTGATGAGTTCGAGTGAATCTGTTGTGGCCTCAAAGTTTAAATCTGAAAGTGAACAAGTGGAGGCGGGTAACGATGTAAACGCTTCAGACATGCTGAGTTAAATAACAGATGTGAAACGGGTCCATGGGAACTGGTCCAACTGGGTCTTCAACCTGCAGTTGGTTTCTTTGAATCTGAGGGGCGAGCATGTAAAAACCACAGCGGTCCGACCGAACAGAACTCAGAACCTTCAGAACCGAACCTGGAGCACAGACTCCAAAATGAAGACGGTTCGGCAGACAGGAACCAGAACCACAATCTGGGTCTGGTTCAGACCTCCTGCTGGTTCTGAGCTCCTACAGGTGACGATGGGAGGAGGAGGAGGAGGAGGAGGAGGAGGAGGAGGCGCGCGTATTAAAAGCTTTTTAAGGCGGATTATTAGCGCCGCGCACGCTGCGTCTGTCCGCGCGCATGAATACTAACGAGGCCTCTAATCACGTTAACGGAACAATGTCGCTCCGCGCCATTTGGGTCTGTTCCCACCTCCCCCCCCCGGTCCCCGGGTCCAGCCCTCCGCGCTCCTCATGCCCTCTTGTCTTTGCGCGTGCCAGTCACCTGCCGCCCCCGCAGCCCCTCCCCCTGACTTCCCACCGTCTCTCCGGAACCGAACCTGTCTCTGATTGGACTCAGAAGCTCATTAAAGTCTCAGACTCGCCTCCGATAAAAGAGCGGCCGCGCACGCGCGCGCACGGATCCGGCTCCCGGATTCTCCGCTTTTCCTCCCGGGACAAAAGTTCTGCTCCGCGGGTTTGGACCGGCTCGGTTCGGAGCGGAGGGAGCTCCTGAAGAGTTTGAAATATTTATTAATTTCTTCTTTATCTGAGTTTCAAACACGAAAATAAAAACTTTAAACTTTGAGTTTTACAAACAAATCAACAAGTTTTATTTATTTGTTTGTTTGTTTTGTTTATTTAAGCAACAAAAGACTCAAGGGGGGGGGGGGGGGGGGGAAAGTCCAGTCCAAAGCCCGTTCAGAACCGAACCTTTATTGTATAATTGAAATCTGTTTTCATGAATCCGGATCGGTTCTGTTCACACGAGACCGAAGCTGCGTCTCTGATCCAGATCCAGATCCAGATCCGGATCCGTTTCACGTTCTGTCAGACCCGTTTGTTCAACATGAAAAAATAAAATAAAGTTCTGGTGGACCGGGTCGTCAGAACTTTGTTTGGATCCTTTTCTGGCTCAGAACCACTAGTCCAGTTTTTGTTCTGGTTCTGATTCTTTCCTCCCACAGAGAACTCGACCCGGCTCAAGTCCAGATGACCTCTCGGTTCCAGTTCTGTTTGGACTAGGTTATAATCTGAACAGAACCAGAACTTTATTATCGAAGGTATAAAAAAAAATATTCAGGTCTGGTTCTGGAGGTTTGGGTCACCTGGACCAGGTTTCCATCATGATGTAGAGGAGGCTCCGCCCCCTCGTTCCGTGTCCTGGTCTCATGTTGGACCCAAACCTCCAGAACCTCCAGAATTTCCAGAACCTCAGGATGGGTTCCTGCCTTGAAGATAAAAAGTGTCAGAAAACTGAACCGAGTCCAGTTCCCCGGGTCTGAACAGGATTTCCCCCTGTTCAGTCTGTAGACCTGGACCCCAGAGTCCAGGTCTACAGACTGAGAATCTTCGGAACCAGCTGTTGGTACCGGGTCGGTGCCGAGTTCTGCTGAAAGCATGAAGTCTCTAACGTCCTTGCTACGTGGACTTCAGCAAACCCATTGGACCAGAACCAGCAGAGGACATGGACCCAAACCATCTGTGGACCTGATTTCTAATCTTTCCAGAGGACGTTGGACCACAGTCCAGTTCTTTGTGTCCTCGGCAGGTAAGACGCTTCTGCAGAGACTTTTACTGAACCTGGGTTCGTGTTTCATTCTTTTATTGAATCAAAGCTTCAAATGTTTCACTTGAAACAATTTAAGTTTCATTTGTGACAGAAAATCAAAGAATTCTTCTTCTTCTGCGTGGACCGGTTCTGTGCTGAGCCCGGATCCGTGTCAGACCCTGGAGCAGAGAACGGAGCTGCACCTCCTCCTCCTCCAGGGAGGAGGTGCAGCTCCGTGAGGGAGGGAGCACCTCCTCCGGTATAAAGACCCCCCCTCACACCTTCACACCCTCAGACCCTCAGCTCGGTTCTGGCAGCTCCTCCAGAACTTCTCTGCACTTTGACTCAACCAGAACCTTCAGGTTCTGAACGAGCCGCAGCATCTTACCCCCCTCCCCCCTCCGGACCCATGGGCTCGGTTCTGCCCGCCGGGCCCGCCCTGGCCCTGAAGCCGGCCCTCAGGCCGCAGCCCCCGCTGTCCCTCGCGGACATCATCACCTCCGACATCCTGCACAGCTTCCTGTACGGCCGCTGGAGGCACGTGCTGGGCGAGCACGAGGAGCGCGGCGCGCCGGGCGCGAGCCCCAAGACGGCCTTCACCGCCGAGGTGCTCGCGCAGTCCTTCTCTGGAGGTGAGCGACCGAACCGGGTCAGGTTCTGTTCTGATCCGCACTCACACAATTTTACAAACTCATCTGCAGCTGGACACAAAATTAAACATCTGATCAAAGATGCACATTTATTTAAAAACTTTCCCGTTAAGTTTAATCATTTATTTATTTATTTAATTAATTGTTTACTGTAATTACAAATTATTAATTAATTTAATGTCATTTCAGTTTGTTTTCAGGTGATTTAAAATATTTAATTGATTTCCATTGAAAGAAAAATAATTAGATTTTTCCTCCAGTCGGTCAGAATTTTTTTTAAATGTCACTTTCGATTATTATTTTTTTGTATAAACATATTTTTATATTATTAGTCAATTAAATTAAATCGTCGGAACCAGCGCAGAACTCCAAACTTATCCAACATTTCTTAAATCGACAAAACGGCTTAAAAAAAAAAGTAAAATAATCAACCAGCTGTTGATTATTTTATTAATGAACAGCTGATTAAATTATTAAATGATTGTGATATTTAATAAAAATGTCTCAAATCTAAACTTTGATCCTCCCGAGGCCGTTACACTGAAATACATTTTTAAATTAAATATTTTATTAAATTCAAAATTCGTTTGCGTTTTTGTTGAAATTCGTTAGAAATATTTCCGGACCAGCGGCTCCACGTGACATTTAGTAGTTTTTATTTCCTGTTAATTTTCACAGACTTGTTTTATTTTCTGCGGGTAATCCTCCTTTTCCCGCGGCTTTTTTCTTCATTCAACTTTATTTCTGCAGGTTAGTCTCACTGAGCCACAGGACTCATTTACAGAGAGACCTGATCCACACAACAGACAACAATAAACAACAACAATAAACAACAACAAGCATGCAGATGAAATAAAAATAGTGTCATGAAACAATAAAGCAGGGGCCATAAAACAAGAACACATTTTCTTTGATGTTTTCATTGACATTATCAAATGTTTGAAACCCTTTAAAAAATGAAGGTGGACGGCTTCAGTTCTTGTTGCAAGTTGTTCCGGTGCAGGAGCTGAAATACTTTTTTGCCAAGTTCAGGCCGCACTGAGGGACTGGGACACAAGTGAGAGGAGACCATGAAGGCAGCAGACCAACGGTGACCAGTTAACCAGTGAACACTGGGTGCAGTGCGGTACTTACAACCAGTTATGACTCTTAGCGCACCATGATAGACAGCATCCAACATCTGCAGCATCCAACATCTGCAAGCAGCTGGCAGGAGCATTCTCCATGACGGTGCGGTTACAAGGTGTTTTCTGGCATTCAGAGTCAAACGGGATCTATTTCTGAAAAAAAAAAACCTGTTTTAATTTCAGTTTCTTTGTCAAGTTTTCAACATGTGGTTTAAAAGAGAAATGTGCATCGACTCAAATTCCCAAGTTGTAAGAATCTACGAAATCAAGAGGAACGCCACGGATGAGACGGGAGGAAAAGTTGCTGGTACCAACTTTCTGTTTCAATTCAGTTTATTTATACAGCGTCAAGTCATCCATCCATCCATCCATCCATCCATCCATCCATCCATCCATCCATCCATCCTCTTTACCCGCTTCTTCCATTTTGGGTCACGGGAGTCGCCGGTGCCCATGTCCAGCAATCACTGTGCGAGGGGCGGGGGACACCCTGGACAGGTCTCCAGTCCATCACAGGGACACATGGAGACAAATGAGACTCTTCACTCTCTCTCTCTCTCTCTCTCTCTCACCTAGGGACAATTTAGAGTTACCAATCAGCCTAACATGCATGTTTTTGGTCTGTGGGAGGAAACTGGAGCACCCGGAGAAAACCCACGCATGCACGGAGAGAACATGCAAACTCCACCCAGAAAGGCTCCCAGACTGGGATTTGAACCAAGGACCTGCTCGCTGAGAAGCAGCAGCTCTACCAGTTGTGCCACCGTGCTGCCCCTGAACAGAAACATTCATGTATAAAATAATAATTGAACAGAAACATTCATCTATAAAATAATAATTGAACAGAAACATTCATCTATAAAATAATAATTTAACAGAAACATTAATCTATAAAATAATAATTAACAGAAACATTCATGTATAAAATAATAATTGAACATTATTTATCTGAGGAGCAGCTTTGAGTTTAACTCCATCACTGAACTCTCATCTTGAACAAGCATGAAGGCGACAGTGGAAAGAAAAACTCCCTCATGAGGAAGAAACCTTTAGCAGAACCAGGATCAGGACTAGAGGACCATCTGCTTCGACCGGCTGGGTTTGGTAGTAACAGATACACAATGGCAGGTCAAGAATCACATGTTAAGATAGAAATAGTATCAAATGAAACTGTTCAATTGTAACAAATCATTTAAAGAAATGAGGTCAGTTTGTCCTCTAGTAGTCTAAGTCTATAGCAGCATAACAAGCCTAACTATAGGATTTATCAAAAAGGAAAGTCTTAATCCCAGTCTTAAACTGGACAATGTGTCAGCCTCACGGACAGAAACTGGAAGTTGGTTCCACAAGAGAGGAGCCTGAGAACTGATTGAAAACAACACCCTTTTGGTTTTGTCAGCGTTTAGCAGCAGCTTGAGGTGGACTAAGACTGACTGAATGATGTCAGAAGAAGACTGTAGAAGCTGGAAAACCGCGGTAACTGTGTTAGCTCATCAATAAACAACTGCATCATCGGTATAGAGATGCAAGTATTTGTCAGGAATGTTTTGATCTACATTATTTATATAAATTGTAAAAAGAGTGTGACCTAAAACTGAGCCTTGTGGCACACCATTGGTGACCGTTAGGTAGCTAATACCGTTATGTCGAGCACATTGCCGCTGACCTGAGAGATAGTTTGAGAACCAGCCAACAGTGTGATCTGAGAAGCCAATATCTGAGATCTTGTGTCAGAAGATGTGATGATCTACAGCAGCAAAGGTTTGGACAGTTCTAAGTAAAGAGCAGCTCAGTAATCCTTAGTGTCCAAAGCTTCAACAACATCATTAAAAACCTTTAGTGAAGCAATCATTGTGCTGTGTTGTTTCCTGAGGCCAGACTGGAGAGAAGATAAAATATTAAGAGTCCTAATACTTCTTGACTTGAGTATTTATCAGTTTTTCTAAAACCTTAGTTAAAATACAGAGTTTGGAGATTGATGGATAATTGTTCAGTATAGTGGGGTCTCCTTCTTTCAATAATGGCAGCACAACAGCTGTTTTCCAAGCATCTGGTACAGTATTATGTTCTATAGGCAGATTAAAAATGTAAGACACCAGTTCTGCTATAATTTGTGCAGCTAGACTTCAGAAGTAAGGAGGATGTCATCAGGGCTGCAGGTTTTCTAGTGTCCAGATCTTCTAACAGTTTAGTAATCTCACTGACAGAATCAGAGTCAGAGATTTTTGGTGGTCTGAGATAAATAGTAGTTTTGTTTTGCCACTTTAATGGAAGCCGTATAGCGATTCCGTAACTGACGAAATAGCAACCAGTCGGTGTCTGAACCAGTCTGTCTTGCTGGTGCCCAAAGCTGGTCCCTCCTGTGCAAGAGGTCAGCTAGTTCAGAAGTTAACCAGGGGCTATCTCGTCCCTTACTCTGAACTGGTGAAGTGGAGCGTGTTTATTTACAAAATGAATGAAACTATTATGAAAATAGTTCCAAGCAAGATTCACATCGTCAATTAATGATATGTGATGCCAGTCAAAACGGAACAGATCCCAAAGCTAGACTTGTTCACAAAACTGTTTCACATTCTGTTTTAGAATTGTTCTAGGTTTAAAATGAGGCATTTTTGTATTTCTAACAGCAGCAACTACCCAGTGGTCGCTTGGATCATTTGTAAAAACACCAAACCCAGTGAATTTATGTGGCCTGTTTGTGATGATGAGATCCAGGAGAGATGATTTGACAGGGCACTTTGCATTAGACCAAGTGGGACTATCAACGAACTGACTGAGGTTTGAAGATAATCAAAATTCTTTAAATTCCTCAGACACGGGAGAGAGCCATTCTTATTAGATAAGAGCTGCATTAAAGACAACAGGTTTTCAAATGTGGTGGTGGGGGGTCTATAGTAGCCAGCAAGAGATAATGACTGACCAACAGACAGTTCAACGTTGAGTGCCAAGATTTTAAATTGTTTAGGTGCTGATTTTGTAAATACCATTTGTGTTACCAAGCTAGATTTGATGTATAATGCTACACAGCCTCCTTTTCTGAGATGATCTGTACAATAAATATTGAAACCTTTACTTGAAACATATTTGTCCAGAATTCTGCCAGAATGCCAGAAATCAGGCTTTTGTGACCTGATTCTGGTTTTGACCCGGATCGTCTCCCGACTCTGGTCTCTTCTATTCACTGCAGGTCTCATGGTCCGGACTGAAGGGTTCGGATCCATTTCGTGTCGGACAGGAAATTAATATATTTAAATTGTTCAGTTTCCATCCTGCAGCCTCCTGAACATCACGAGCTGTTTCATCTGAATGTTTGACGTCATAAAAGTGTTTTTGTGTTCAGAGGTTCAGAAGTTGTCCAGTCTGGTTTTACCCACCGAGGTGATCATCGCCCAGAGCTCAGTTCCAGGTGAGCTTCAACTCAAACTCTCTGAAGAAATGGGAGTTCTGTTAATCAAATATCTCCTTTGTGACTCGGCAGGAGAAGGCCTTGGGATTTTCTCTAAGACCTGGATCAAGGCGGGGACAGAGATGGGACCCTTCACGGGACGCCTGGTCTCACCTGAACACATCGACTTATACAAGAACAACAACCTGATGTGGGAGGTAAACAACACAAACAAACACGTTGGTCACATGTTGGACAAACTCCATCAAACGTTCAACTCAGGAGGTGGAGGCCATGTCCACTCTGCTCTGATTGGTCACCTGTGGTGACCTGATCTGGTTCTGCCCACCTGCTCATCAATTAACATTTTAAATACATTTTCCTTAAGAGACATTAAAGGGAACCGTTATTTAATTTTATGTTTGTAGTTTTATTTTGAAGGTCCACAAGTCCGCTCTCAGTCGGTTCTAAATGTCGTTGATAAAAGCTCAGCCCAAACCGAAAGGGTTGCACGTTGGTTTCACTGAAGGAAATCTATAAACGTAAGACATGTTTTGGGAACTCCGCCCACTTTGAGCTGAATCTTTGCTATGTTGAAGAAATAAATCCACACAAACTAGCTAACAGTTAGCTTACGGTGCTAAATAGATTCAGACGAACAAGCTGGTTTGACTTTATCATGCTAGCTTGCTAACTTTAGCATGCTAGCTCACTAACTTTATCATGCTAGCTTGCTAACTTTCTCGATGCAATGTAGCTTTCTTATCATGTGATTTCACTGAACAACACTTCCTAAAACCAGCTGCCAGGCTGTGTGTTCCCGTGGGCTCACCAGCCCAACTCAAACCAATCCAGTGCGGGTTCAGAGGCATTTCATTGGGTGTTCTGGCCCGCCTCCAGCTCCACTCCCAGTGAGCTGAACCAAGGAGTTCACATCAGCAGACTGCAGGATGCTGATTGGACAGGAAGTCATGTGACTGAATGAGTCATGGCAGCCATGTTCAGACACCCATTTTCTACAGCCTCACCACCAACTTTTATCCAGCTCTTTTGTACCGTAAACTTCTCAGGCTCACTTTTAACTTGACCAACCACGGACAGAGCACCAGACGAACCACGACCTCCACTGTTGGGCGTCACAGAAAATGACATCAGCGGAGCTTCGAGCAGCGTTGTTGTGACAGTCCCGCCCCAACGAGGCGGCGCTCTGTTGTAGCGTTCTTCATGACACCATGTAGAACTGAATTAGGTCAGGCAGGTCAGCTTTATCAGCTGAAGGCTCTGGATGTGGTGGGGCTGTCCTGGTGGACATGTCTCTTCAGTGTCTCATGGAGGACTGGGACAAAGCCTGTGGAGTGGCAGACTGCGGTGGTGGTTCCCATTTTTTATAAAGAGGAACCAGAAAGTGAGTTCCAGCTATCATAAGATCACACTTCTTGACCTCCCCTGGAAAGTTTCTTACACAATGGTGGAAGAAAGACTCCAGTCGATTGTTGAACCTCAGTGTGGTGTCCATCCTGGTCCTGGATCAGTGGACCAGACCTTCACCTGTGCAGAGTTGCTAAGGGGTCATGGGAGTTTGGCTCTGCAGAAGGTCTATGACCGTGTTCCTCAAAGCATTCGGGGAGGGGGGTGGGTAGTGCTGCAGGAGTATGGGGTACCTGGGTTGCTTTTAAGAGCTATCTGGTCCCTGTAGAACCAAAGCAGGAGCTTTTCCAGCTCGTCTTCATTCCTGACAGCTGAGCTGGACTCTGAGGGACCGTTGACCCGTCTGGTCCCGGTCCACTCCCGAGCTCTCCTTTTAACGAGCTAATTGACCCAGGTGACCCGCCTCACCTGGTTCTGGAGCTGTTTAACGTCCAGAGCTGAAGAAACTGCTGACACGAAACATTTCATCCCAGAGGACACGTGAGGACCGTCAGAACCGGGTCAGTGAACTGGACCCACACTGAAGCTGCAGCTTAACTGGGTCTTTTTATTTTAATCTTATTTTCACATTTGATCTCTCAGTTTCAGAGATAATATAAAAGTTCATTCCAGTTGTTTTTAATCATTTAAAAACATTAAACTTCATAAAGTTCAACGAGTCTGAAAGACGTCACAACGAGACGCTTCCTGGATTAATAATCTGTCTTCGTTTAGTTTCTGAGCCGGAGACAAAGTTGATACGTTTTATATTTTCTGTTTTCATTTTCACATGAAGGATTATTAATGTATCTGGATCTGGATCTGGATCTGGATCTGGATCTGGGTCTGTCTCTGGATCTGGATCTGGATCTGGATCTGGGTCTGTCTCTGGATCTGGATCTGGATCTGTCTCTGTCTCTGGATCTGGGTCTGTCTCTGGATCTGGGTCTGGATCTGGGTCTGTCTCTGTCTCTGGATCTGGATCTGTCTCTGTCTCTGGATCTGGGTCTGTCTCTGGTTTTGAGTCTTTTTATGGGTCTACCCATGGTTCTACGTTACTGTGGTTTATTAAAGAGCCTCTGAAGTGGACCCGGTGTGAGTGTGTCCCTCCGTCCCTCCGTCCCCTCAGGTCTTCAACGAGGACGGAACGGTTCGGTATTTCATCGATGCGAGTCAGGAGGACCAGCGGAGCTGGATGACCTACATCAAGTGTGCCCGGAACGAGCAGGAGCAGAACCTGGAGGTGGTCCAGATCGGCAGCAGCATCTTCTACAAGGCTGTGGAGGTCTGTGAACGCATCGCCACGACACACGGCTGTGATGCATTCAGGGGTTTCACGTCTGAGAACTTTACAGAGTCATTTTAAACTCCACGAAGAATCTAATCTCTTAAATTATGGAACAATTCAGGCCCGTTTGATGTTTTTTCTGAACATTAAATAAAAAATCCCTTCATGTTTGGAGTTAAAGAGCTGAAGGTGAGTTTTATGATCAAACTAAAAATAAAACTATTGACGAGAAAAGCCATCAATAAATTCAGAGTCAGAGATTCTTTATTGTCATTCGCTCCACCACATTAAGTTCACAGGGTCCGGTTACATCCAACAATAAAATGTAAAATAAAAACAGTGACAACATGTAAGATATGAACTGACAAAAACATCAACTATAAATAAATTAATAAATAAAAACATCAACATCAAATTCAGTCTGACTTTAAAGATTCAGCTGAAAAAATAGAATAACGTGAAAAAGTTGAATTATTTTATCAACAACTTCAGAAAGTAAAGTCATTTATCATTAAAATGATTATTTTTAATAATCATTTTAATAGATTCATTACAGAGTGAAATGTATCTGCCTTTATTTCTTCTAGTTTTAATGACTCTAACTTACAGAAAATGAAAACCCAAACTAAACTGAGAATCTTCCAGAACCGGCTGTTGGTACCTTTGTCAGAGTGGACCGGTGCCGAGTCCTGCAGGAAGATGAAACCAGCGTCTCCATGAAGCTCGTCAGCAGAAGGAAACACGAAGAGCTCTAAAGTGTCCTGCTAGATGCTGTGTGGACTTCAGAGAACCCAGAGGACCAGAACCAGCAGAGGACATGGACCCAAACCATCAGTGACTGTGGAAACTTCACTCTGGACCTGCTGGACCTGCTGGACCTCCAGACTCTGGGACCTGGTTTATAAATCTTTCATCTGAAAAGAGGACATTGGACCACTGAGAGACTGTCCAGGTTTTTTGTGTCCTCAGCAGGTAAGACACTTCTGATGTTGTCTCTGGTTCAGGAGTGTCTGGACTCGAGGACTGAGACATTTAGTCCATGTCCAGGAGTTCATCAGCTGATCGGAAAACTGAACCTCTTCACAATCTTCTCACTTCCTTTTAGTTTTCCATGGTTTGTAAGTTCTGATCATCACAAAGAAATCGAGGCTGAAACATTTCACTCATGAATCTATGAATCATTTACGAGTTTCACTTTCTGAAAAACAACAAAACTGAACCTCTTCACCAGATTCTCTTTTCTCACGTGTATTTTCATCTTCATCTGCTCGGCAACAAACAATCGTTTCTACTGAACGAACTCTGCAGATTTTATTTATCTTCAGAAAAATAAGATTCATCTAAAATGCCACAACTCAAACCTATAATTATTATTATTTTTTTTTTAAAGAAAATTAAAATGATTTAAACAGAAAAAGTAGTAGTTAATCAAAAAATATTTTAATTTGGTTGTTTTTTGTTACTTATAGCAATAATGAGTGATTTTATTTATTGATTTAAATCAGGTCAGTTTAACAAACACAGAAGATCAAAACACAAATTAATGCAAAATACAATAAAGCTCTAAAATTAAACCGTAAGTTTTCACAAAATAAACTCTCGGGTGGAATATAAACGTGTAAAAATACAACCTCCAGTTTAAAAAAATAATTTTTATTTGGACGTTATTGGGAGCCTAAATATGAACATTTATTAATAAAATGCCCTTTACAATTTTTTTTATTTAACATGGTTTAGAAATTAGAGACTTAGTTTAAAAATCATACAAAATAAATAAAATAAGGAATTATTAAAAACCATCTTGCTGAAATAAGATAAACGTGGTAAAATGATTAATTAGTAAAAATAAAATAAGCCATTTTTAAAAATGAGATCAAAATAATCAGAAAATAAACTAAAGATAAAAAAACATCTAAAAACAACAAATAAAAATGTCTCATAATAAAATTTAAAATTTTATTAAAACGCCTCGTTTTGTTGCGTGAAGTTCCTTCAGGATAAAAAAAACTACCTGTACTTCCTGTTTTTATGTTTTCTGTTTTACTGTGAACTTTAGAGCTTTTTGTTTTTAATTTAGGCAAAATAAATTTAATTAAACTATTTTTAACTGAAGGTCCGACCCGACAGAACCGTCCCCCTGCAGTGAAACTCTGAATCCATCTTTAATTGATTGATTACTTAATTTACATGATCAGGACGTTTGTGTGCGCAGTGTTCGACGGGAAATGAGAAGCGGGGGCGCTTCCGGTCTGTGGCGCCACCTGCTGGCAGAAAGATGAAGCTAAAAACTCATTTCAGGCATTTCCTCTTAATTTGCTGTTTCATTTCTTTTAAATGTATTTATCAGCTGGTTTCAACCCAACAATCTTTCCCCTAAAAAAACTTCCACGAATTTACTTTAATTTTTTATAAAAAGTAAATCAGATGAAGAGTGGACAAAAACACAAACTGAATATTTAAAATCTAACGAGACGAACAAACGTTTATGTGTAAAAATATCTGAAACTGAGCTGAGACGTTCGACTCCCCTGATCACAAACACAGTTCAGTTCTATTGTTTAGTAAACTTTAATTTTCACATCCATATTTCAGCTCAGGAAATGAAACGTTTTTAAAAGACCACAGAGATTTAGGAACAAAAGAATATTTACATTTCAAACCTGGATGTGGTTTCTGCTGCAGACGATCCCTCCGGACCAGGAGCTGCTCGTTTGGTACGGAAACTCTCACAACACCTTCCTGGGAATTCCTGGAATTCCAGGAGGAGATGAAGAGCAGAGCAAGAAGACCAAAACGGGTACCGTTAACGGATGACTCTGAGAACGCAGACATAGATCCACAGTTTTAAAGTGTTTCAGTGAAACAACTGAGTGAACGATGAGAGCAAACGACCGTCTGAAGCTGATCTCCTCTTCTTTCTACAGACGACTTCCACCCCTGTGAAGGCCCCATCACTGCTGCCGCCGCCTCCTCCTCCTCATCGTCATCCTCCTCTTCCTCTAGCCTGGGACGCATGCGCTGCGTCATCTGTCACCGCGGCTTCAACTCACGCAGCAACTTGCGCTCACACATGCGCATCCACACCCTGGACAAGCCTTTTGTCTGCCGCTTCTGCAACCGACGCTTCAGCCAGTCGTCCACACTGAGAAACCACGTGCGCCTGCACACCGGGGAACGCCCCTACAAGTGCCACGTGTGCCAGTCCGCATACTCGCAGCTGGCCGGCCTGCGTGCGCATCAGAAGAGCGCCAGGCACCGGCCCTCCGGAGACCCCAATGCCCAAGCGGGAGCCCTTATGGTGGTGGGAGGTGGAGGGGTGCACTCACCTCCTCCATCTCACCCACCGCAGCTGACCGCTGTGCCTCACCCGGCCTCGCTAGTCCATCACATCCCCACCATGGTGCTGTGAAGAAACAAACGTTGGCTCCTATTACAAGGTAATGTGGGAGTGGAGCTGAAGTCACCTTGTCGTTATCAAGCCTCAATAAAGAGCCAAGCTGCCACTGAGCCTCACACGGGGCGCCAAAACTAATGAAAATGGTCATTCCAGCTCATAAAGCTGACATTACCGTACAAAGGTTCAGTGTAGTGATAACAGATGTGCAAACAGCGGACTGTGAATTTTAGAAAGATGGCTGACGCACACATCAACTCCTTTGGTTCTGTGATGTTGGCTTCATCATCTCAGGATGAAACTGGCTTCAGTGGTGGTTTTTGCCCGCACATAGGATGCTTGTTTTTGCAGCTAAATCTCACAGACGTTTTGTGAATGGAGCTAAAGGTTTACCTGTCAGCTGACCAATCACTGATTTCCACATACCTGTACCATCTTCAAGCAGTAGAAACCCTCAACCAAAGTTCTTTCATGAACATAAAACTGATCTGCAATTTGCAGCAACTTGTTTCCGTCCTCCTGATCCCATCTGTTTCAAACCGGCTACAAAAACCTGAAAGTGTCACTAAAATCTCAGAAATGGCCCACAGGAGTCCCGTGACTTCACAACACGTTTGTTTCCAGGCCACAGATTAGATTCAGGCTGCCAAGAAAAGAATCCACAAACTGATCAGGAACGGTTCTCAGCATGAGTCCACTCTGCTTGTGTACCCCCCTCCCCCCATGACCTTTCAGCTCTCTTCAGCAGGATGAGGAGGTGCTGAATGATTCAGCTGCATGATGCTAGTAAGAACCAAGTGTTGTGTTTGCTTTGCATGGATGTCTGTTAAAGGTGTCACGTGTGTTATAAACAGGAAGCTGCTGCAGCTTCTTCAGAGGAACCCACTGAGTTTCTGACGAGATTCAAAGTTTCAAAGCATTTATCTAATTCCTGTCTTCATTTAAACGCCTCAAACGAAAGCCCCCCCTTGTTTTACTGAACAAATCTGCTGAAAACTCAGGGGGTTCCTAGAAGTTCAAAATAAAAGTAAAACCTTAAGTTAAACATCTTTTAAATATTATTTCTGTGAATATAGTTTGTGCTTTTTGGTCTCGGTGTGAAGACGAGACTGCATCATCTCTTGACATCTGTCAGAAGATATGAAATTCATGTAAATGTTTTTCTGCTGATTTCAGTGTAAAAATGTGCTGAAATGATGAACTGAGCTGATCTCACATGTTTGTCTTGAAATGTAAATTAGTCGGCAGCTGTCAGCGAGCAGAACGTGATTATAAGCATGAATATAACTCCACTGTCACTTTATCTCATGACATGTATCGAACATGTATCAATATATGAAGTATGTTATGATTCTCGAAGGGATGTTCAAGTTAAGCCTATAAAGTCTTAATAAAGAATTTCTTCTGCTTTACGTTCGTGGCTCTGTTTGGCAGCTTTCTCTCAAAAGCTCCTACAGTTTAGGTTCTTTCTGAATTTAGATGAACTGAAAGAAACTCCACAAGCTTCAAGCTCGACCGACTCTGCAACTGTCCACACGGACAAGACAAATGTCTTCTGGTGAAAAGTTTGATTGAGCTCTTTGACCAAAATGACAAGTGTGTTTAGAGGAGTCATGCTGAGGCAACACTGTCCTTACTGTCAAGCATGGTGGTGGTAGTGGCATGTTGTGGTACTGGGCCATTGCACAAAATGGATGGAAAAATGGAGGACACAGCACGATCTCCAGATCTTTCCACTTCACCTCAAAACAACAGCTGGATGGTTGGAACTTGGACACATTTGGGTCCACCAGGACCGTGATTCCAATCACAAAATCATGGCCTCCATCCATCCATCCATCCATCCATCCATCCATCCGTCCATCATCACTCCATCATCCATCCATCCATACATACATACATACATACATATATCCATCCATCCATCCATCATCACTCCATCTTCCATCCATCCATCCATCATTACTTCATCATCCATCCATTCATCCATCCACCAATTCATCCATTCAACTATCATCCATCCATCTGTCATCCATCCATCACCAATCCATCATCCATCCATTCATCCATCCATCAGATCATCTATCCACCCATCCATCCATCCATCCATCCATACATCCATCACTCCATCCATCCATCCATCCATCCATCCATCCATCCATCCATCCATCCATCCATCCATCCATAATCTTCCTCTTGTTCTAAAGTCAGGTCTTGTGGCAGCATCTTGAGCAGGGAGGTCCAGACATCTCTCTCCACAGCCTCTTCCAGCTCTTCTGGGAGGACTCCAAGGTGTTCCCAGGCCAACCAAGAGACATAGTCTCTCCAGCTTGTTCTGGGTCTTCTCTGGCGTCTCCTCCCTGTTGGACATGCCCAAAGCACCTCCCTAGGGAGGCGCCCAGGAAGCATCTTTACCAGAGGTAGAACCTCATCCTCGACTTGAAGAGAGCAATCCACCTTCTGACTGAGGACTATGGCCTTAAACCAACCTCCTTGAGAGGGGCTGGATTACAGTCCTGGCGTCTGATTGGTTAAAACATCAGAACAGGTTTCTGATTGGAGTAATCCGATATCAGCCAGGATTCTACCTGTAGCTTGTGGATGAAGACAGACCGCCTGAGGTCCAGGTGGAACTGGCTGAGAGACATTTTCTCAAATACAGTGGGGATGTAAGAATTCATTAAAACTTTACAAGAAACGTAAACCTGTGCGCTCAGTGCTTACTTTTAAAATTCATTAAAGGAGTTGTTTGTTTTGTAATCGTTCTGCAAAACAGTTTGAGTAAATCATTAAAAGTCTGAAATTTACCCATGATTCATTATGAGCAGATAAGAACTGAAACTGTAGGATTGGTTTGATCTGAGCAGCGAGTTTTAACTGATTCATGTTCCTGCTTATTGAAGCAGGGCGAAGAAGTCACAGCAGACTGAACCTTTTTCTCTGTAAACACAAAGGTTTGGGGTTATCGGTGTTGGGTAAGATCAGAAAACACAGGATGTGTAAACTCACTGTTGGGACACACAAGCAAACAGAGGAACGCAGAAAAATCCCCCGTGTGTCCCGGTTACTGAGGACGCACAAACAGCTGAGTTGATCAATAACTAATGAGATGTTTTTCTGAGTCTGTCCGTCTGGTTTCTCACTCATTTGAGTCTCGTCAGACCTCAGTGAGTCTTCTTCACCTTCAGGATGAAGGTGTGTGTCCTCCTGGTTTGTATTTGCTGCCTGAGCTGGAGAACGGAGGCTCAATCCCAGTCGTGAGTCAAACTTTATGTTTCATCCGTCAGGACGGAGGTGTTGTTCCACCCGTTGGTGTTTGGGGACAAAACAGCTGAAACTTTGAAGGCTCGCCTACATTTAGGCCTAAAACAAAATCTATAATTCATGAGAGTCCTCAAAGGGTCAGTCTAAAGGTTGACCGCTCACTTATTTTTCTGTTTCTTTTTGAAAATCATGCAACTACCAACCAGTGTGTTTGGTGATTATTGTGCGTTAATATAACGTTATTGCGATATTATGATAATGGTTATCGTGACTCGAGTATCGTGATTCTCTGACGTCTGCGTTGCTCTCCATCAAGATGTCTCATTGGTCAACAGAATGTCAGTTTTCCTTCACATTTTTCCATGATCTCCCTCAGGTACTTGATAACGGCTCCTCTCTCACTCTGCCTGGACGCTGTAGAAACAGTGTTCCTACATTTCTTTGGGTACACATCAGAGGTATCGGTCTATGTGTTCTTAAAGACCTCCATGGCTCCGGATCACAAGGTTTTGTTTCAGGACGTTGTGAGGCTGAACAGCCTGAACAGCTTCCAGGGCATCGCCAAAGTGCGGGTGAGAGAACACACACAGCAAAAAGCATCAAATTCTCTGAGAACATGTCACCGAGTTATCGTCCTGCCTTCTTCCTGGGCTCTTTAGCTGTTCCCAGATAAGGTGGGTCCGGATGTGGATCGGGTGGTTCTCCATGTTCAGACAAATCAGATCAACCAGCATCTGTTAATCCCCATCAGCAGAACCAATGGCTTCCTGTTCATCCAAACGGACAAACCGCTGTACACCCCCTATCAGAAAGGTAAGAAACACTCCCTGGTCTTGATTGATCATTTTGATCACTTCGTCCGTCTTAAACGTACATCTTGATTGTTTAGTCTGTATTAGCAAATGAAAAGAAGTTCAAGTCAACTTTACTGTCATGTGGTACATGAGATGGAACAAAATTATGTACACAGGGTCCCAGTTATGCCCAGCCATCCATTATCTTCTGCTTTTTCCGAAGTTGGTCTCGGTGGCAACAGCTTGAGCAGGGAGGCCCAGATATCTCTTTCCACAACCACCTACAGGACACCCGAGAGACATAGTCTCTCCAGAGTGTCCTGGGTCTTCCCCGGGGTCTCCTCACAGTTGGACATGCCCAAAGCATTTCCCTAGGAAGGCGCCCAGGGAGCATCCTTACCTGATGCTTGAAACACCTCAACTGGCTCCTCTTAATGGAGGAGGAGCGGTTCTACTCTGAGTCTCTCCTGGATAACTAAACATCTCACCCTATCTCTAAGGGAGAGTCCAGCTACCCTGCAGAGGAAACTCATTTCAATCGCCCGTATCCACGATCTCATTCTTTCAGTCACTACCCAGAGCTCGTGACCGTAGGTGAGGGGAGGAACATAGACCGACCGTTAAACAGAGAACTTCACCATACAGCTCAGCTCCCTCTTCACCACAACAGACTGGTACAGAGTTCACAATACTACTGGATGGGTAAACTCCCATGACCCCCCCGAGGACCCTAGTGAGGGTAAAGAGCTGGTCCAATGTTCCACAGCCAGGACAGAACCCGAATTGTTCCTCCTGAATCTGAGGTTCGATCAACGATTGGACACGCTTCTCCAGTACCCCTGAATAGATCTTGCCAGGGAGGCTAAGGAGAATGATGCCCCTGTAATTGGAGTACACAAATGAAACACACCCTCCGGTCCCCCTTTTTGAAGAGGGGAACCACCACCCCAATCTGCCACTCCAGTGGCACTGTCCCCGGTGTCTACGCGATGTTGCAAAGGTGCATCATACAAGACAGCCCCACAACATCCAGAGCCTTAAGGAAATCGGGGCAAATCTCATCCACCCCCGGAGCCCTGCTGCCACGTAGCTTTTTAACTACCTCAGCCATGGTTATGGACAGACCAACCCCGAACTTCCCCAACTCCACTTTCTCCATGGAACATGTGCCAGTAGGATTGAGAAGGTCCGAGAAGTATTCCTTCCACATCCTGACGACAACACTGGTTGAGGTCAACAGCACCCTACCTTCACTTAACATACAGTCAGAGTCGGAGTCAGAGTTTCTTTATTGTCATTCGCACCTCATGTGGTACATGTGGTGGAGCGAAATTATGTCCACAGGGTCCCAGTTACATCCAACAATAAAATGTATAAGAAAAACAGTAATAACATCTAAGATATGAACTAAGAAAAACATCAACTAAATATACACTAAGCACTCATAACATAAAACATTGAACATCAGCACAAACATGAACATGAGTCTGTGAGCAGATGTGCACGCATGAACACATCAACATGAAACAGATCAGCAGCAACATGAAACAGATCAGCAGCAACATGATATGGTTTTTCACGGTGATTATTCTAGTTAGATATTCATGAGTCTAACAGCCTCAGGGTAGAAGCTGTTCCTCAGTCTAGTGGTTCTACACTTAATGCTCCTCAACCTCCTTCCTGAGGGGAGTGGGGCAAAAAGTGTGTGTGCTGGGTGAGTGGGGTCCTTCATGATGCAGGTGGCCCTCTTCCTGCATCTGGAGGTGTAGATGTCTGTGATGGTGGGGAGGCTGACTCCAACATCTTCTGTGCAGCCTTCACCACTCTCTGCAAAGCT